AAAGTGTCTAGAAAGGGGAAGCGACTAATTCTTCGTCCAAAAATTGTTTGCTGTTTTTCGGGTCTTCTGTTGTTCTGAATCCTCTGAGATAACCTCACAGTTGGCCACATGTCTGTCTCTTCACAATGCTCATACGTATAACGCATGGGGTCAAGTAATTTAAACGCTAGCAACTGCGATCTTCGGGTCTGGTTCTTTAGGAGAAGAGAAGTCATGCGAGGCCAGATTGGTAGGACCGGTTTATTCCATACAGAATAGACGAAATAGACAAGAAGCCATATACGCTTATGCCTACAAAATACGGTAAGACTGTAAACAGAGGTCCTTTTATAATTCAGTATATATAAGGGAGATAGGCTGAGCCTTTGAAAACCCTATTTCCAGATACAGTAGTCGTTGGTTATTAAGCCCACGGTTAAGCCTAAGTTGGTCTGGGCCCGAGGTGGGCTTAATAACCGGCGACTACTGTAGATGCTGTAAGATCATGTGTTTCAAAGCCATAAATACATTATATAAATCTGTGTTGTCTACCAAATCGATGACCAGCAATAAAAGTAAGATCGAGTCCTCTTTTAAATGCGTCAACGCTTTCAGCAACAACAACTGAGAAAGGAAGTTTGTTCCAGTCTTCAATGGTCCTGTTGGAGAAGAAGTCGGCCCGCACTTCTAGTTTGGAATGGTGTTTCTTCAGTCTGTACGGATGACCTCGCATATGTCTTGTTTGTGCGAATTCAAAGAAGTCAGCCATCTGAAAAGCACAGTCTACTCTCCTGACGAGTTTAAACATATGATCATATATCCTCTGTATCGTCTATAATAGAGAGGAAAAAGATTGAGCCTATCTAGACTACCTTCAAACGGGAGAACTCCTAAGCTGCTGACTAGCTTGGTTGCCCTTCTTTGAACTTTCTCAAGCATTGCGTAGTCTTTTTTCATCCAGGGGCACCACGCCTGGACGCAATGCTCTAACATCGGCCGAACAAATGTTCCGAAGACTCGCCCAAAAAGCTCCT